ACCGCCCGCCAGAAAAGCAGAAGGAAGTCACTCGTCATCACCGTGACAACCAACGCATGACGAGAGGAGGGAGGAAACTTATCCATCAAAAAATGATGCAGGGATGAGTGCACTCCTTCATCTTTCTGCCACACACACACACATACACACACTCACAATGCCTTCATATTTCATTTGGGTCATCAAAAACAACTGTCTACAAGAGGAAATCTCTGACTGAATCTCATGCTTTCTCCACTCAACAACATAATAATGTATTTTTCTCGTAACAAAGTGGCTGTAACCCTCCCATGGGGCTAATGCTCAGAACACACAGACAAACTGAAAGCACAAGAGAAGGGAAACAGCAATTCAAGTGTGAACTAAAAAACACCCCAGAGCCAGAGACTGTCACACTGACACTGAAGGCAAGTGTCTGGTTGTGCTGGAGACAAAAGCGTGAATTAGTTTGAAGTAAATTAACCTATAAACCAGAAAATAGTCTATTAACACATTGAGATTTATTACAAAATCTAAAACCAAACTGACTGTAATTAAAATCTGAATAATATCAAACTGTCTAAATGTATTGTATTTTAACAAAAATGCTTGCTGTATTGTACATATGTAAATATAATATAAATACTATTTCTGCTTTAAAGTGACAATTTCCAATCTTTTAGTGCACTGAAAAACCTGCCTGATGGATTTCTCCATTAGATTAGTTACACACTTAATAGGAACATGACCTATAGCCACTCATATCAAGCGGCAGAGATTGCAGACTGATGGTTGGGCTCAGAAGGAAAAAGCCTGAAATGACAGCTACTGTACAATCTGGGCCTTTGATGCATAAACAAATAGAAAGGGCTGGAAACTATGAGTACTGAGCACCACCCAGTGGCTGATTACTGTATGTTTTCAGTTAATGCTCACAAGGGGCCTGTAGCTGCATAGGAAATTGGGGAAATCCAGCATGACACTGGTAGTTTTCACTCTTTCACCAGTTTTTGAAATGATGAAGTACATCCTCAGGGGCGCCTGATATGAAATCTCAAAGAGTCCAAACCTGTTTGTCACTGTTGCTTTGTGTTCTTAAGCCTGACTGTCTGTCTTTACATAGATAATGGATATTTTACACTTATAATGAATGAAATTACAATGTGAAAACAATGTGACAGAAAGGAAAGGAAATCGATCATGATGAACCTACAGAGAATTATCACCTAAATCTTTACAGAGCGTTATAGTGAGTTTTAGCTCATTGTGAAACCTGTTTATCTACAAATAGCAGTCAAACATTAAAAACTTGAGTTAGAGAGTGGTTGAACGCAGTGGAGCATTTAGCTGCTAAAGAGATGAATATATTTCCTTCAGGTGGCAAACATTAATATCTTTAAAAAGGCATACCTCATTAAAAATCATAGACTCTATGAATATGGTATTTTTGTTTGACTACTGGACACAAGATGTCTCATAATTCAATGTAAAGTCCATTCTCAGTGTTTATGCTCTGGTGGCTTTAAGTTTCTTCATCACGCTTGTATAAGTTAAGCATACTGGACCAGGATTGAGTCTTTTATGTGGACTTCTTAACTCTCCTCTACACGCTAACTCTCAACCTTTACTCATTTCAGTATTTATCACTTGTGACCGCCGTGCCTGCTGTTCACCAAAAGTTATTTGCTTTAAAATACTTTCTTTTTCTCTCCAGAATCAATAAATCCTCCATCAAACCTCCTCTGAAAACTGATGTAGACATAATTCAGGACTTGGATCTGTGTTAAAAAAAAAAAAAAAGACATCTGCTCTTTGTAGGACCATATTGATCCAGCTGTTTATTTTTTGTTATTGATTTATTTATTTTGTTGCAATGTACCAGTTAGAATGGTGGTTTTTTTCCATGCTGCTGGTTTGCTGAACTGTACCCTCCCCATTTAGCAACAGGACTTTTCCATTTAATTTTCATTTCTTCTTTCCACACCCGGGAGTGCACAACACTCTGATGATATGTAATGAGGAAATATAGATTTATGTTTTTGTTTGACATACTTTATTAAAGGAAAACTGTCAAATAGTGTCTGTTAGAGCTGCTTAGTTCAGAGCAAACCAATTTGTTTTCACTTCAGTTCACACTATTCATTATCACAAATCAGCTTCAGCTCCTAGGCAGATGTTGCCCCCTAGAGATCAATACAGTCAATATTCATAGAGTTAGGGTCAATAAAGTATAACAAGAAATATGTTATTTGTATTTGTCCAAGTCTGTAAAAAGAAATATACACATATGGGACCATATTTCATATTTGTATATGCTCATACACACATTGCACAAACTTTCTCAACCATTATTCTACTGTCATTTATTGTCAGGAGGGCCACAGTGGTGTCTGCAGTGCAAACCAACAGGCATGACTGTAGCCAGCGGTACAGGCAGAATAATGAATGAGTAATGAATAATAGAAGAATAATGAAGAATAATGACTTGGGGAAAAGACACACACACATGCATACACTCGTATGCACACATTATACACACACAAGGATAGACATAGATAATTATACAGTATCACCATCTATCTTCCTCTCAGAGAGAGAGAGAGGTTCCTCTGTCCCCTCTGGTGTACACAACTTCATTAAGAGGAAGTCACAGATGGGCACAGGGTGGAGAAACACTCCCTAACACTATCTCTCTTTTCTGCAAAAGATATTTCAAGGAAATAGGGTTGCAGATGATATCAGCAAATGTGGTCAGTATGTAATGACACCCTCTAAAGATATCACAATTACTCAAAACCATCATCAGCCACACTGCTCGTTCAGTAGTCTAATTGGATGAAATCAAACAGTGCGTCTACATAAGATCATTTGTGTTATTTTGTGGCCACTGTAGTTTCTTCAACAGTAAGTTGCAATCTGCAACTACACTGCTAGATGCCACTAAATTTTACACACTGGTCCTTTAATGCCATTAAGCAATGGGATTTATGTGAGTTTTTGTATAAAGCCAGTGACATTTTCTTGCATTTCTTTATTGTGTCTATATCATAACTGTCACCATAACTGGTGACCATGTGAAAATGAAGTTGTGGTTGTGTCTGTCTATTGTGCATAAGGCAACTAAATGGTTATGTTTATGGAGGGACATAGGGAAGTATCAGTGTTCAAAACTTCACACGTTGGCTACAATGTACTAAATAAAGTTGTCTTGATATGACTGTGAAGTGGCCAATCCCTAACAAGAAAGCAAGAGTAATTCCTGCTTCTAGTTGGTAACACCGTTTTGTTTTTGTGAGTGTGGGTTGGGGGCTCACTGCCTTTAATCAATAGTGATATCTGAAGAGCAACAACAAAGGGGGGAGAGAGAGGGTGAATGACACGCAGCAAAAGGCCACAGGTCAGAGTCAAACCCATGGCCGCTACAGTGAGGACTTGGGCGGCAGCTCTACCAGGTGAGCTATTCAGGCACCCCTGGGTGGTAATAGTTTATAATATGAGTACAAAACACATGCTTAAGTTATGCATCCAAAGCGTGACTCATGATGAGTTACTTCATGGTTCGAAGCAAGATGTATTTTAACTGCTTGCATGTCTTTAACATGGTGCATGACTACATTTACTTCAGTTTTGAATATGTAATTTCCTACTTTGTGTTATTAATCTGTTTCCTGTCTGTCTGGAAGGTTTTGTTCTGCACTAAGTGTGTTTTAGCAACAGTTTCATGATGCAAGATAAACCACTTCCCCTCATTTTAGGGCATACACTGTGAGATATTCACATCATGTAGCCTATTGTAAAACTAGTGCAGCTCTACAGCCCAGTAGCAAATAAATGCAGATAAAGAACAGATAAAGATACATGATTAATGCCAGGAATTTAGGAATTAAACCAAGATACCAACACATGCTTCCACCTGTACTGTGCGGACAAAAGATGTTTGCATAAACACAATATGACCCAACTCCAATGTGAAAACATTTATTTCGGTGTTTGGGAGACTCTACAGGTGAAAAGGGTAAATATTTGAACTAATAGATATCACCATGAAACTTCCCCAGTTGATTGCTTACATTATATAGATTTACTATATTTAGATGCAAAAGGTCCAAATTGACCAGTGCATGTTTTTGCCTGTTGTGTCTCAACAACTTGGAGATGATTATGGTTAAAAGTATACACAAAAGTAATATTTTGGTTGAGGCTGACCACCATATTCAGTCACAAGTGATGGAAACCAGTGGTCATATGTAAATACAAAAGTTTTTGTAACCACTGCTGTGGGTAGACAAAGTAGCAGTTACACCTAACAATGTAATGCATTTTAGTACAACCAAATCATGAGGAACTTAAAATTGATATATTGGTCTTTGATTTCTGTGCTTTTTGCAGAACCGTATAAAATCCACTTGCTACTCCTGACCTGCTCTGGCAACCAGTGAGAGTTTGCCCCAGGTGAGAGGTCTGATGTCAAACTGTCCAACAGCAACAATCTTAGCTGTCATCACAGCCGGAGCCTGAAGGTGACCACTGTCGGAGATATGAAATGTTCAAAACCAAGTGTGTTGAGAGGCTGATAGACTTGCCCGCCAGCTCTGAAATTTAGAAAAACCATTAAAAGTTCTGTGGAGTCTGGTTAACTGTTTTTCCTGCAGGTCATAAATTGATTGACAGATTTTAAATGTTACAAACTGAAGGCTTTCATGGGTGAGATTAAGTTTAATTATGATTCTGTTTATGCTAAGGTGTGCATTTGTATTTGAGTTGCTGTTGTTATACTTTGGCTTAAATGCTTTTATGTTTCTTCATATTTTAACAATAACCAAGAGTTCAAATAAAGAGTAATAAGGGGTTGACACATTGGATTCTGTTGCTGGCCTTGTAGAAAAAATGGTGAATGATATCAGTTATTTCTGTACAGTTGTTTTGTTGAATATTTGGAAAAAGGAACTTGAAACTTCTCTTTCTTTCACTTCCTCCAGTCTTACCTGTGCTTTGATTATAATAGTTGATTCAGTCTTGCACTTGTTTGCCTGAAGTGAGTGTGGCATTTGCTTTTTGTTCACTTCAAACCAACATGCTGCTCAGCTTTTTTCTCCTGTTCTTTTTGTGTGAGAGCACAGGTAAGAGCCTTTTCCTTAATGAATGTAATACTTCAGAGTATAGGTATTAAATGTAATGTTACATTTATTTGTGCTTCTTTTTGCAGTTACAGTGACATTATGGACTACAATCTGGCCCACTAATTCTTACCCGGAAACTAATAGTACCACAGTGACTACAGAAGGTGATACAGAATATGATTCTTTAGTAATTACAATTAATTGAAACTATGGCTTATGTTACAGCCGCCAGTTTTTATCCTCACAACTCAGTTTCTGAGAAATCATGTTTTGTCTGTAATTTTGGCATTTGGATTTAACCAGGAAAGTTTAATGCTAATGTAAGTCATAGTGCTCCGACTGTGAGTCAAGTAACATTGTGTTAGGGAAACATCATTTCACATAGTCAGAGGTGCCCAAAAACTAAGTACAGGTGAGGCTGATGGCAATGTTTTGTAGTTATAAAGTCATAAATCAAAGTATTGGGCAACTAAACTTTAAGGAATCACAATTCAATTCCAAAAAGTTATCAAAAAGTTTTTGAGACATTTTACTGATGGCACTAGGAAAAGTCGGTGGCTCACTAAATTAATTAGGACTCATCCTGTGGGGGCCATGAACGTCTGTACAAACATTTTTATGCCAGTGCATTTAGAGGATATTAATATTAAACTGGGAAAGCGAAAACCTGCCCTAACCCTTTGACCTGCTGGTGGCGCTATATGAAAAGTATGAAAAGTAAGCAAAGTCTTTAAGATTCATTCTCTGGCGACCATGAAAGTCTGTGCTAAATTTCATGGCAATCCATCCAATAGTTGCTGAGACACTTCAGTCTGGATCAAAGTTGTGACATAAACATAACATAGTGCGGCTGAAAATGTATTGTCAGTATTTTCTGACTGTATCTCTGCTCGCTCCGTCCTCATCCATCATCCTCCATTTGTCCCCAGTAATGCTGTCTCCTCTGCAGCTGGTGGCCACCCCAGACTACCCGGTTGCAGTAGGTCAAAAAGTTAACCTGCACTGCACCGCTTTCACCATCCCAAACTCTGTCACTTGGTCCTGGCAACGACTAAAAAATCAGACCTGGAAAGAAGTGGGCAATAGTCGGGATCTGACCCTCACCGAGCCAGATCAGAGTGGGCTTTACCGTTGCTGTGCCATGACCTTGTCATCTTGGAAGCATGTGAGCCTGAACCACACAGTCTATATCATCTCCTTGCATGCAACAGGTTTGTGGTCTACATATGTGAAAACAGTATAAAATCTTAATAGGTCAGCACATTTGGTTTTTTATTGTTGATGACAATGGTAATGGGCTCATTATTGGTCTGGACACCAATGTCAAAGAAATGTGGTTTTAAGATTTTATGAATGCATGCAGCCTAGGACTTAATAACAGTAAAAATGGCTCAGTTCTATTAAGTATCCCAGTAACAGTGACATTGAAACCAGTATGCACAATAGCAGGACCTCCCCTAATGCAGCTATCGTTAACATACCTGTGAGTTTCCTGTTATAATATGCCAAAATGTCTGCTGTGCAACCAGTCCAAATATTATTATAAATTTACAATTACTTAAAGTAACATTATGTGGATATGAGTCTCGATATTTACTGATATCATTTTCTTTCTAACACATCACATAACAAACATTTTTGTTAAGGATCTCTTTTTAATATTTTGATATTAAATGACTAAATGTGACAGCTACGGCAGGTAGTGACTGAAACAATCTCATGATTGTAGAGTTCCCGTTCAGCTCTATGGAGCTAATTTAGATCTTTCAACTCTTTGTTTAGCTGTCCAGCCCACAACTTTAGCGTTTTGGTTTCCTCTCACTGCTCTCATAGCGTTGTCTCTGGCCACAGCATGCAGCAAAAAGACTCTACAAAATCTTGCTACTTGCTACCATTTAGCAACTAGCTGGTGAACATTTTCCAGCATTTGGCAGTTAAGGAGACAGACAGTATTTCCCTCAGGAGTTGGTGGAGATCAAAAACGGATCGTGTAGAAGAGTAAATACTGGACTTAAATCAAGTGGCCAGAAACACATCTCAGAATGAATTCCGAACTCTATATATGTGCTGGATGTGTAAATAGGCAGCTGTTCGCTATGTGAACTCAAAAGTTGATAACACAGTATATTAGTGTTTACAGTGTATTTCCTCTGGTCCCCAACTGACCACATAATCAGTTGTTGCACATCTAAATTTGGTTGGTAAGAATTGTGACCGAAATATGTACTGAGTGGAGGATTTTACATTTGAAAATTTAACTTGTCAGTGCCCTTTGGTGGACAAATAATGCAATGGTGAAACATATCTTTTGCATTTTTATAAGACTACTGAAATATCTTGTTACTTTTTGGCCAACATACGCTCAAATGTTGATATATCTGTAGTAATCTAATATCATCTGAAATTGTCATGCACAAAGATACAGTATTGTTTTTGTATTTTTAACTTTTAATTAATGTTGTTGTGACCTACAATTCAAGCTTATCTCCTTCAATTCTGTTGTCAATTGCTGTTTCCTTGACTTAAAATAGTCGGTGAGAAAATAGGAGTAATAGCCTTTGTGCTGTCTCTCCTGACCTTGATCATCACCCTTGCTCTTCTTTCTTGGATGGGGTGGCAAAGATTTGGTCACAAATTGACCATCTCCAACACTGTGGCTAAAGGTAAAGAACACCATAGAGCACTTCCTATTGGGTTGAATTTTAAGCAAACGTTATGTGGATAATTTTATTTTCTTGCTTTTCTTGAAGGTCCTGGGCCTGAAAAGTCACCAAAGTAAGAAAAAAAATATTTATGTTGGTATTGGCAATTTGTTTACTTGCTCTAAGCCAGCCGAGTCAGAATGTTGTATATATTATCTGATCTGACAATCTGACATTTGTCTGCACACCAGGGGAGCTTTGCCGAAGATTGACAGTGACGGAGATGTGTACATGAATTACACCAACCAAGCCTACACTGATCTGGACCCCACCAATATGACTGGTGATAATGTGTACTCAAGTCTGTCATGAACATCTGTAGGAGGGTGGCGATAATAAATATGTAATAGGATGTAATAAAAAGATGATGAGCAGACAGAAGTTAGATCATATCAGCATATAGAGCTCAATGTCACCTTTAATCTGATAGATGAGGTTTTGCATATACAGTTATTTAACACGATCTGAATGTAGCAAAACCCACAGATCTGTGGTTCTAGCTGTGTGAAACAGTTCCCACCAAACAGTAAGAGGCCCTTCTCGCTTTTTCTTTGTAACTGTTAATAAAACCTGTAATTTGCTACAATTTTCTACATGTCTCATATTGCATGTACTGTTCATGGGTAGATTTCTACCTACTTGATGTGCCTGAAACTAACTTTGTGATTTACTTCAATCATACTAATACAGCCAAATTTAAGACACAAATTGTATTTTTTATTACAAGAGTTAGTTATATGGAATAAAAGCAGCATCTTTGACTTTTGGAAGATAGAAATAATGCTACACGCACTTTTGAGTACATTACAAAATTACAAAAGCTGTTCCACTCAATAAAAATAACACAATAAATCTGTTTTCCAACAGCAGGTAAACTCACTATAAAATATATATAAAAATATACAGTATTTTACATATACAGCAGATCACTGAATAATAATAAGGGTTGACTTCCTTCGTTGCAGTGAATCATGGGATTTTCCAACATGAGACCTATGTCACAATATTGGGTACCAGAGGTGAAACGTAGCTCTAGCTTTATTACTTCTGTTCCCTGGTTTCACAATACCGGTTATAACTTGTCCAGGCAAAGCTAGAAAAACTGTAACTTATCTGATGGGAGACAACAATCTTATCATAGTTTACTCTGTGTGTGTGTGTGTGTGTGTGTGTGTGTGTGTGTGTGTAATCTAATGAGCAGCTCCACTCTTTGAATTTACTCTGAATTTACCTTGACTTCTCTACCGATGCCCAATTTTGGGCCAAGCCACACCTGTGGGAGGACTTAACATGTGTGGTATTGGATTTCACAGACTGATAAATTGACTTCCTGTAGAACTTGAAGTATGAAATGTTTTGTTGATGTACTTCTGCTTGTTAAGCTTCTGCTTTTGAGTTTGGAGCTCACACAGGAAGTGCAGAAGGACTGGTGTAATGCAGACTGCAGCTCCTGCACTATGCTGAGATCAAATGTCAAGTGACAAATGTCCCGACCACGTTACATTGTCTTAAAAGAAATTCTAAAAATGTGGAGCCACCAACATGTGTACATGTGTATGTGTTTTTAATGTCCTACTTTGGCCATGGTCTACTCTAAATACCCAAAAAGAGATGATTAGGCTTGGTATACAAGTGTATTTCTTGTTTTTGTCCTATTTTGGGCAGAACATCAGTTGCTTTTACAGACTAATAAAGACAATAAAACATAAAACTTTCTTAAAAGAGAATCTGAGGATGTGGAACCACCAACACTAAATTATATGTATATATATAATCATTTAGGAGTGGCAACATGAGAAAAGTCTTTCACACACAAGTAACATATATCTACGTTTTTGTACAAATGTTCCGTTTTAAATCAATCCATCTCAGGCTCTTGGTGCTCACTCTGGAGTCTCTGGCTCTGATTCCTGCTGTCCATGGAGAGTTGTGAGGTGACCGTGTGTGAACACCCATCTCCCTTTCTTAGCTTTTTAATGTGGGCCATGATGAACCTTCTAAACTTCCTTGTAGCGAAA